AAGGTAACCTTTTTAACCTATTATAGTCTATTTATAATCTAACCAAGTGAATGGGACCGCATATGGTAGATAGGTGGGACTTTCAGTGAAACTTACAAAGCTTACCAGAAACCTTGGAATTCAATCATGCTAATTAATAGCATCAGACGCGGATATCAGTTTCCTCACGATTTGAGATTCCGAACTGTGTAAATTTGTGCCAGTTTCAACTCGAAAGAACTTTAGAATGGTTTTGGTAGGGAAGAATTTTTCTGCTGGGTAAGGTGCGATCAGAAAATTCTATAATTTTTTCATATTAGGTTGTCTGAATGAAGAAGAGTATGTAAATTTGTGGTGTTGCACTATATTTATTGTTTCATTTGTAGACTATGTCCGATGATGAAAAACGGAGGTTCTTTGAGTTGGCACAAAAAGATGCAGAACGCTATCAAGCTGAAGTTGCTGCATATGGTGGGGAGGATGCGTTACGTAAACGGAAGCGTGTCAAGAAAGATCCGAATGCGCCAAAACGAGCCTTGTAACTTGACATTTCAACCTTCCAATTGTTAAAATCAACCATTTTTGTTTCTAAAGAATAGTAGTTTTAATAAAATCCGAATCATTTTGCTTAAGATTCGAGATTATGGTTCTAATCGTAAGTTTAAACTTTTAATGCAAAACAAAATCTAAATGGTTTAAGTGTGAATTTTAGATCCGCCTTCTTTTTCTTCTCCCATGATAAGCGGCCTGAGGTGCAACAACAACATCCTGAGTGGAAAGTTGGTCAGGTTGCACAAGAGTTGGGTCGTTTCTGGAAAGCATTGGGTGAGGAGGAACGAGCTGTGTACGAACGAAAAGCACTTGAAGATAAAGAGCGATACGCTGAGGTATTACATTTTTAATCTTACCTAGATAAACCTGTGAAGATATAAAATAAAGCATAGAATTTTTGAAAGGATTTTGCAGATTCGTTTATTTTGTTATATATTATCCGAATATCTACTTTTACTCTTTTTATCGCAGTAAAACAGTTCCAGATAATTTGTTTAAAAAGGTGTGTGGTGATCAAAAGAGAAGAAATATAACTATCTTAAGTGTATTTAACTGGTCCCATTGTTTTTTTTTAAGTTATAGAATCTAGAGTTTGTGAATTTAATGTATAGGAGATGCGAAATTACAAAGGAACACCAGTGCAAACGATAACATCCATGAAAATGCCTATGATGACAACAGTAGAGGGTGTTCCAACCAGTGGAATGATGCAAATGGGAGTACCGCCAGCACATGCCCAACAAATGGTCCAGTCACAAGAAGTGAATGATGAATGTGCCGAGGCTTGAAAAGTCTTCAGCATTATTTGGAAGTTTCATACAAATAAATAGAAAAGTTTTTATCACGTGAAGTGTATTTGGTACACCTGCAGTAATAGGATTTTATGTACAGACGACGGATGAAAATAGAGAAAACGGAAAGCTCAAAAGCAAGATTTTGTGTCTTTAATGCTAATCTAGTTGTTCATTTCCTACTAAAACACGCGATATAGAATTGAGTAAGCAGATAATTTTGACAAAATGCAGCAGCAAATCTCACTTGCATTTTCGGTACCAATACACTCAGGTGTATATATTCATTAATTTTTGTTGTTTTCCTTGTTATAGTGAAAAACTTTGATCTATAATTGGCAGTTATAAAATGTGGATTGTAAATACAAGTTCAAAGCACTGCTATTCTTATGAATACATTGTTTCCTGAGTCGCTGTTTGTATTAATTTTTTCTTATGTCTTTTATTTCACTTGTTTTAACAGAAATGAATATAAATGATAAAGAGAAACAGAAATGGAATATGTAGTGATTCCTAAAGATGTGTTATAGTCCCACAATCTTTCGTGGTGGTTTCGAAAAGCGATGATAAGTTTTCTTATAACTGCTTGAATACTATCTTTAGATTTCTTTTTATTCCCACTTTTCCATTACTTATGTAGTATCGTACTTACAGTTCTAAGTTTTCGTTTTGGTAGGGTCTATTGTTTTTCAGCGAGTAAAATTGTGCACTATGATAAAATTATAATTTCGCAGCCGTTCTATTCAAATATTGCATAAATTCCCAAACATTGAGGAATCTATTGGGTTGGTATTGTATTCAGCCCCTCGACTTCATTAACTTCAAAATCTTGAGAAATACGTGGTGCAGCCTGTCGTGTTGGGCGGTACTGCTACTCGGTTTCCCACAAAGAGATGAATGAATTCATTTGAGACGTGAATACTTTTCATAGGGGAAGTTTTCTAAATGCAAATTCGCTTTCTAATATCACTTTGCAAGCTTCTTTCGATTTTTCTATTCAACAGAGTTTCGTATGCAATTCCGAAAGGTGAATGCAATAGAGTCATTGAAATTTTACCAGTATGACGACAGTGCCCTCTATCCCTGTTCAACAATCACACTGAATGCGGTGAAAACGCAAGGAAATATTTCATGTTTCAGCCATCCACATACACGCCCAAAATCAGTTGGAACTGATAAGCTTTTATCTCAAACATAAAGGTACAAACTTCAAATACATATGTAATAATACAGAATTTAACGAACGTATAGTGTTTTGCGCTTTATTAAAATACCACAAAGAGACTGAACTTCATGTTTCAAAAATGCCTGTTGAACGTCCAATAACCTTTATAGAACAAAATTTCCAGAAGAGGAAAGGATAGAAAAGTATCCGATGAACCATGTAAAGCGACAACAAAGTATTGTAATGATATAAAAATTTAAACACAAACGATTCGAAACAATTTGTCAATTTCCAGATTTGAATCAAAATGTTTTAGTAACTTAGAGGAAATAAATTAAATCGGGATTAAAAAAATATTTCAAGAAGTGAGTTTGAGAGCATAGCAAGATAAGACTTAATACAATACCACTGCAAAAGGAAAAACAAGAACTTTCGGGTTTCGAACCACATCCCAATATCACAAACTGAACGGAAACTAAGTAAGTGATATGACGCCACACGAAACGGAAAAGTGCAGATTCATTTCGTTAAAATTTCCTATAAAATTGCATAGCCGACTGAATTTCGAAAATAAAAGGACGGATATACGAATTTCTACGATGTAAAAAAAAAAGAAAAAAAAAAAACAATGAATGAAAGCACGTGAACATTCTTCATACACATAATTTGTCAAAGAGTGTACTATCGCTGAAAAAAATATAATTGCCAAAAACGTTTTGGCAATTATGGTCATATTTTAGGTGAAACAACTATCAAAAAACCATAGAAACTGAAAGATTACCGATTATTGGCACTATTTTAAAAAGAAAGAGTAAAGAGCATAAATTAGGGGATGGACAATTCCATTACAAAGCAAACATTCACCAAATAACCTACTACTCATGCATAATCTCGCATAACCTAATCAGTTCATACATATCAGTAAACTATAAAAATATAGAAATACCGATCACCCGTTAGCTAAAGAACCTCACAACCAAAATTCTGTTTAAACTAACATAATTTATGAAAAAAATCCATAACTGGATGGAGTATATGTGATTCCATTAAATGTTATTTTAATCAGCGAAAAATCATCCTCCCACAACTGACAGGAGTTTAATTTACTACCAGAATTACATCTAGAGAAAGCTTCTACAACACTCGCTAAGCAAATAAAATTTGAACTTCGGTTTTTCACGGAAAAATCCATAAGATGGCAACATTAGGGAATAAAAAATGTGAACTTTTATACAATTTAAATAAAGGGAGCTGCCAAAGATGAAGAAAAAAACCCAATACCCAGAATGGAACTTTGATACAACTTACAAAATATCACAATGAATGAGATGGAAAGGAGAAGTAATCAATCTTAAACCAATCCATATAATCCAGCTTTATGAAAATATCAATGCTTTCGTAACAGCGGAACTTCATATGCCTCAGAAAATAAAAATCCTCAGATCTTGTGCCAGATACCAAAGCATCGCTTCCAGATTATTTTCTAAACAGCATAATATTTTGTCAATCTATTTGCTAGTAGTCAAATAATTATAGCCAGTAAAACTGAGCCCAATTTCAGACAATAAAGCAAATTTTCAATTCTTCTGACAGTCTTATCACGAGAACCTTCTGAGGCATATAATCATATAATTAATTCTATTACTTTTTTCAAAAAATAGTTAAAAAAACTAACTGCTTCATAAACTATCTCAAAATCATTGAATAATGCAGAATATGTACAATAATTCACATTATTAAATTGAAAATGGGAAATTTAAACATTTAAAAAATTCAGAACTAAAAGTAAGAATCAGCTGCCTAGCAAAATGTCTTTAAAACAAAAGATTTAAATTTGATAACATATATAATATGAACCATCGTCACAAATGTAAAACAAAGAATCCGAAATTGTAAAATAAGGAAACAAAAATATAGCTAATCTTTCACCAAAACAATCTGAAATTAAAACATCTACAAACACATAAAAAAGCACTAAAACCATGATTTCAGCCAAAAATATTAAGATGATTTGTACACCACAAAATCAATATTCATAGACCAACATCTTTCCTTGAATAAATTAATGATTCAAATGAAAGATAACCCACAAATTGAGTGGGAAAACATCATAGAGATTCTTCCTCTCTGAGTGGATCTTGTACAAACAATCTAATAAACTTATATGTACAAAAAATAATTCGTAAAAACATATGAATGAAGACTGACAAAGGATGCACTTCTGGACTGGCAAATTAAAATTAAGAACCAAAATCGAAGTAAATGAAAACAATAAATCAGCGAAAGTAATAATTTAAAATTTCACTACTCATTCCATTCGGAAACATTCTAAATTCTTGCACCAAATTAAGCAAACAATTTCCTTATAATTGTCCATCATTAATTAAATATTCAAGCGGGGTAGATTTTTACAAGGTGCAAAAATGGATGTGACAAAAAGAATAATGATTACGAGAGTTACACGAAAATAATACCCTGCATAATTAGACTTTATATGATAGAAAACTCGTCTACTATGACGACGGTGATAATCGTTCCTTTTCTGCTCGATATTCCGCACGAAGCCATGCTACTGCTGTAGCCAGATATTCTGATAATGAATGTAAGCTTAAGTCAACAGTAAGCGGTCCACATATTTGGTCCAAATGTTTTACCATCTCTGCAGAAGAAATACAAAATCAAAAACCGATCTAGACATGTTAAAAATGCAAAAAATTTTGGATTCTCATCTAAGCCATTTTAAATATGTGCTTAATTTAATCTAAAATGTAGAATATCCTGCCCGATCCAAAAAGTCCTTAACTGTTTTGCTCACTCTCATCAAATAAAAATACAGCATCATATCTGCATGCAGAGCAATTGAAAAAGAGATTTTCTATGATTTTTATAAATAACCTTGTTCGTAGCTGTTCATTTTGGTTGATGTCTGTTTCCACAACCGATCAGACCACATCAAATGATGAAGTATGCTAAGCTGCGAACGTTGCACTTGATAAATAGAAATTGGAACATTGATCTAGAACGAATTTCTTTTAAAAACAAAAGTAGTGAACACAGCTCAGTGCGTTCAGACACTATATTTTAATTCGAAATTGCGCTGCCTGTCTACCAAGTTCTACAGTCACTTTTAAAATCCAGAATATTTTTTTCAGACCCAAAGATTCTTCAGGTGATTCTTTTGTCGCGATGATGTTCAAATAACTCACTTCCCTCTGACGTTCGCCATGACCACTGTTAGTTGATGAAGCCGGTGAAGGAGTTTCTGTATTGGCAGATGAACCACCCTGCGAACTGACTGATGCAGCACCATCATTGCGCATTGCTGCAGCGTCCAATTCAATTAGCTGTGGTTCCCATTTCGTCAATGCACCAAAATTGGACATACAACTCTGAATATTTAGAAATTCAAAATTCTTAAAGAATAAGCATGAATTAAATGGCATCATATCAGAATACTAAAAATCACATTATATATAGACTGAAGCCACCTTTGAACAAATCTTCGATTTTACCGAAGATGTTAAAACTCATCAACCTGTACTTATCAGCAATGTCAACCATATTAAAGTCTGGAATTTCTTAGGTACCAAGACTCATATTTCAAAATGTAGCTTTAGATGCGTCAATGCACTGGAAATGATTTTTTGGCATGCATAACAATAATCAGTAAGGAACAGAAGGACAAAACCGATACAATTTAATGAGATAAATTAATCCAAACTACTAAGGTATGAAGGTAAGACGAAATATTAATTCTTGTTTATAATGTTGATAACATTAGAGATGTAACAACAAACTTACTCCTATCTTAAGTGAATAGAGATAGTAATTTAGCACAGCTTGAACCCGAAAAGATAATATTCTGAATCGACTAATGAAATGCCGTTCCAGTGATGAGAGACTAGCTGCTGATGCACCTGACCACTTGATAATCGTTCTGAAGGCGATTTTGATACCATTATAAGAAATTGACCAGTTGATCAAAAATTAGTCAAATTATAATACTGTTTAAGGTATGGCCAGGGTTCCCAAATATGTGGCAGTTCGGGACAATTTTAAGAATCAGTAATTTAAAAAAAAAAAAAAAAACGCAGAGAACTTTAATCATTCCACTATGCCTTTCAAAAAAGTACCGGATAACATCGTTGATAAGACTTTGAGTAAGTCAAGGCTCAATTCTCCAATACTAAGTTTGATTTACGAAAAAATCATTCGGAAAACTGAGAGCTTCAAATCCAAAGCTCACTTCATCAATTCAGCACTATCGCGTGCTATGGTATACTGCCGTTGTCTGTTTTCTCGTTCAGTAGCTGATGAAAGTATGAAATACACAGCGGCATCCATATAAGCAAGAGTTTTTCGTACGTAGTCACCACTCTAAGAAATTCGTCAAATTTCAAAGTTTATGATATAAATATAGAATAAAAAAGGACTTTATGAAATTACTAAGATTTACTAGTTTACCTCTTTGTCAGCTCTGTGTTTTAAGGGACGGGCAACTTCATCCAGATAGTAATTTGCGCATTTATATGAACCATTATCATTCTTTTCCAGTACTGTCTTTTTTGTTGGTGCTACACGATTTCTGTAGCAAACAAAATCATCGCCAACTTCCTGAAATTTATATAACAAATGTTTGAAATTTTGCTTTGGAAAAAAGCAGAAAAGGTGGGTTGAAGAAAAAGATTTTGAAGCCAACTGAATGAAAGAACTGCAAAAAAGATTTGCAAGTTGACAGAGGTCACGTGTGTATTTTCTCAATATGCTGACAGAGCATTTTCTCTCAACAATAATTTCCATGCTAATTAACAGTCTCAGTAAGAATAAAACCATTTACCTGTATTCCAGATTTACTGCCCACATTTATGTCCTTTTTACACTTCTTTGTTGGTGGCACCTCACCGTCTTTGCATTTCGAATTTTTTGCAACTTTAATTCGTACGTTATCGACTTGCATATTATTATTAGTAGTAATAATTATGGCAGCATCATCCATTTGTTTTTTCTTTGATTCGCGCAGTTGCTGTGTTATCACGGTACCACCACCAAACTGATCATTTAGTCCGTTATAGTTTTTCGCGCGAGATGCAACAGATTTCTCTTTCTCTCTGGAGTGCTCATTATCCAAGCATCCTATCTTGTCTTTCTCTTTCACATCATCATCCGGCTTACCAGTTGATACGTGTAAAACAGATTTCAGCTGAGAGAATTTTTTTCCCAGCTTAGAAGTGTTTGGCAATTGTTCACCGTTGCTTGGAGGGGCTGAGTTGGTTTTTTTATTCCTTTTTTCGCTTTCCTTGATTTTGGTGGTGACAGATACGGTAACGTGTGTTTTGTCGCATTGTTTGATAAATTTCTGAAAATCTAATCATTCCAAAACAATTATTTCATTATCATTGATTGATTGCTTAGCTGGCCATCAAATTACTCCGTTAAATTTTTTTAGATCTACTGGAACAGTGAAGTTTTTAGACTTTGATATTATGAAGTTCACTCTCAACAACTATTATTGTAAGGAAAAATGATGACCTCAAAATCAAAACTGTTGTAGAACGGAGATTCATCTAACATTATTAGTATTAAATACTGATAATGTTAGATGAACTAATTAGATTGTTTGTTTATCAATGCTACCAATCATATGCAAAAAACCCATATCAGTAAGATACTGAAATTTCACCCAATTAAATATAATTTATATCAAAGAAAAACTGGCGGTCTAAAGGCAAAAAGCAAACCTTAACAAGCGTAATTTTGAGGTCATCATTTTTTAATGCACCCAATTCGTGTTTCCGATCAATACTAGATGCTGAACCACAATATGGAATATTTTCCTGTAGATCACAAAAAAGTTTTGTTTTGGATTATGATTATAAACAATTTACAATGAACAAATTCTAACCCAATTTTTGCTAGTTCTACAATTTATAATAATCTCCAAGCTTTTCAGTTGTTCAGAAAATTCTAGTAGGAATTGCTAATACACTCTTGCTGCTTCGACTAGGTCACAAAAGAATGAGTTTCTAAACTTCTGAGTAACATTGCAATCTCTAAAAGGGAAACATTTATGTACTATTCTTAGTATTAATCTCGACTTTTTCCTTTTTCAAAAACAAAAATATCAAAAATCCGACCTTTTTCCGTCCAGTGATTGGAACTTTCAAGTCATTAAGATTGAAATGATGAGAAAGATGGTTCACTTATGCTATCCTATTAGTTGCTATAAACTTGATAATCAAAGGAAAAAATAATGGCTTGTCTGGATGTCCTCAGTTTTCGATGATAAAAAGTGACAGATGAAAAAGAAACTGGTTGTCACTGTTTTCCAGATTAAGAAAATATTAAATTAAAATGATATTTCTACTTTCGAATTTACATACCTTTCTGAAATCTTTCGTAGATGATGACGACGGCGTTGCACCTGCACTATGAACGATTTGTTTTTTATATCTGCTATTAATGTTGTCCATTTTTGAAATAGATTTAAAATCCGAATCGCAAAGTCGCGGCGTTCTATCTCCTTCGTTTCTTGATGTTGGTCGCATTGGAGGCGATAGAACACAGCTCGGTAGAGCAACTGTTGACAAAAACTGTAACAACAGCAAATTTGTACGAAGTTAACATAGATGCTGGTATGTCACTGGTTGAGATTTTTATTTAAAACACTATCATACCTGCGACTTATTTCTTTTTTTATACCGGTTTATCCCTAGGAAGTTCACTCTTCACTTCTTTTCAGTGGTGTGAATTTATTACGTTTAGAAAACCATCCACTGCTATAGAATAAGATTCATTATGACATATGACATATCTTTGTACAATTTATTCCATTGAGAAATTAGTCATTCAAAAATAATCTAGTTAAGTTACATATATTGTGAGTTTTAACAGTAAATGCCAGATATCGCTTAAAAAACTAACAGCAGGAGCATTCTTGATTAACACATTCTTGATTTGTAAGAGCTGCGCTGAATCCAAACGGTCAAGATTTATGATTACTGGAAGTGTTAGACTGTCACTTTTTTGCGGCTGTCGTGGTGGAGTTAAAAGTGGTGAAATATGACCCAGTTCACCAATAATAGTTTGCAAACACCTGAAGTTAATATAAAACATAACACTCTCATTTATCTGAAGTTTTGTATTTGCTGAGAACATTTGTTTGATTAAAAAAAAAAAAAAAAAAACTCTTTCTCATGGTAATACAATAAACCTAATCATATCTCATCGTATCTGAAGATATTAAGTAGCCAAACACCTCGCTTTACTCAAGTTTGGCCTAATAAACCAATTACCATCCCCATGAACCATCACAGAAAAAGTCCAAGATACGAAAATCAGCATGAAAAAAAAAAAGGACATAATATATGATCATTTTTCGCCTGGTCATTTGGCTTACTCATAAGGGTCTTGGAGTTTAGAAAACCAATTCTGCCTTTTTAAAATTACCAGTAACTGAGTATCAATTAACCCCGGTTACAAACTGTATTTTGTAGGAAAGGATAATTACGGTCGATGAAACTGTTCCCGATTTTGATCATTTATTTCATCAGCATATCCAGAATCTGGGCTTTCTTGCTCTTCCTTTTCCCATTTAACCATTTTTTTCTCCATATTTTTCAACATATCGATATGTCGCTTTTTTGCATTTCCATTTTTCACTTTTTCTTCACCAAATAATTCACTGATCGTTATTCCACTGTCATTACATTCTATCTGAAAAATTGAGAAATTAAAGTCACAATACTGCTTCAAATATTAGTTCGATGCTATCAAACATCCACTTAAAGAACTGAAAAATCAAGTCACATACTACACCCCGCAGTAATCTCCATTAAATTCGAAATGAGCCTTAATTATTCAAATTCTTTTCAAGTCAAAACTGTTCAACAAAATTAATTAAACTACAGGTTATATCTTATAGAAAACATTACCAAATCACTAAAGATCCACATCCCCTTGTGCTCGATGCTCAAATGTTGATGCACTAGCATCTTCGTCCCTTGCTTGTCATACACAATATTTTTAAAGTTCTCCAAACATTTCCTCTCTTTAATTTATAATAAGTCAAAACATTTACTTTTGCTGCATTGCTTGTGCATGGTTTCTGCCAATTTTCAGTGTCTGTATTGTTGCAAACACTTCTGCAAAATTGTTTTACGAAATGATTTAGTTTCTATTTACCTTCAAATTTGCCCGCAGTAGAAAAGTAAAGACAAAAAGATAGCTTAACAAAAGCCAAGTACCGAATAACCAATTTGCTGACCTTCTCTTTTTCCTTTTCCTACATGAACTATCATCGTCATGACTTGAGGTTATCGAGGATCTGCTGCTATCAATGTGAGTATTCATGAAGTTAGCAGACGATACAACTGCTTTTGAACCTCTAACTGAATTACTTTTCCGTTCTTGATTCTGAACTTCACATTTATTTAACACAGATGAAACAACCAGTTAGTCGAAGTCACGAATAAAGTAACTAAATTATATCATGAAAGGAAGACAATGCATTTCACTCCGCATTTTATATTATTAGGCCCAGAAAAATATATCATTGGAACATACGCACCAATATAACTTCAAAAGTTGCAGCTTAACAATTTCGAGAACCCAACAAATTAGATGTTTTCAAATATCGGCGTTTTATTTGTTATAAGCAACTCAGGTATTGGTCCCTATACCTTTCCTACTCCTCCTCCTAAATTTGTTTCTTTAATAGTTCACTTCTAGGAAGAAAAGTAACTACTATATGATATCAAAAATTGGTAAATAAACCTTTTTAAACGGAAGATTAGTATGAATCGTTGATAATGGTGCATCAATAATACACTGCATCTTCTAAATAAAAATCATAATTAACCATAAATTTTTTTTCTTCTAACTTTTTTTAAAAATATCCCTCTAAGCTTTACCTTTTTCTCATTTTAGCCTGGAAATAATCCTCCAGCATATATAATTTGTTTTAATCTTGAAGCGCTGAAAGCAATCATAAGAAATATTTCTCACAAAACAAACCTCAATCCATTGGATTTAAGAAATTTTCTTTAGAAAAATATATAACCTGTGCCATTTGAGTAGCAGTCAAATGTGACTCTGACGCTGATGATGATGGCACAAAAGATGGACGTATTGGCCTAATTGGTGACTGAACAACGCCAAATAGACCAGAATTATTCGGACCATGTTGCGAGCCGACAATAATATCAGCCATCACATCAAATGGACCAAGACCATCTGCAATATTTTTCAAAGCTTGAGAGCTTCTGCACTTCTTTTTCGATGTCAGGTAATATTTTTAAAAGGATAGTATCTCTGAGTGGAAGAGAATAGTAATTTATGAAATTTAGTTTTTGTTTTAAAGCATTTTTGGAAGTTACATTATCAAAATTACTGATTTGTAAAACCTAAGCCAAAGTGAAAGCACCTGAAGCTTTTTTGGAGTGATGAAACAAACAACTTCAACAATTTAACTTTTAAGCAGAAACTTATTGAAGCAAGAATCCTACTATAAGTTGTAAAGACAGAACCTTATTCATCTAAAGTGGATTGAAATTACAATTTTTGCGCATTTACAATTGAAAATAATTAATGACCTATAAAACGAGTTAATATCAAATAATCTTACCATATTCTTAGACAATACTTACAGATTATTTATGCGCTCATTAACACTCAAAATTTATTAACTGAAGAATATATTTGATTGGAATGAATGGATAGTGAGGAAGGGAGCAGTAAGCGAAAAGAAAAATACGACTTAATGTATCTCTATGAGTATTATCTCCTAGTCCATTGATAACAACGTTCTTGGAAACGATTTTTGTCAGTCCCGAGAAAAAATCAGTATTATCTAAGCCCTAATTTACTGCTTATAACTTGAAAGTTTCCTAAGAGTAGCTAACTAGTTTCCAATCTCGGCTCAAGCTTATAAGTTCAATATACTAGAATGAAAATGGCCTAATGATCAGTTGAAAGAGAAATTATGAGACTATTGAATGTCAACATTAAAAGTTGTCATAATCATAATTCCGTACATTGCATTCACCCCTCGTTTTTATTCTCAATTTATTTCAAATAAACCAGATGTCACTTACGTTAACGACTTACTTCCTCTCTTGAATTCAGGTACAGTAGTTTCTGGAAAAAACTACGAAATGGAGTGTCTGCAAAACATTAAAGCAGACAGTCCGAATTCTAGATTATGAATATATCTCTGATAATACTGTAAGACAAGCTCACCAACAAGATTTTCGCGAATCCGTGCTATCCTTGGCTCCGAATCTTCTTCAGCCATTGTCTTCTGAGTTTGATTATTTGGATCAATAGTTTTCCGCACGTCACACTGATCGCTGTTCATCTACAAATTTCCACTAAATTTAACCTATTTCAACTTACTGATAGTCAGCAATTTAAATTCATCGAGCGAAAACATACTTAAAAACAGTAAGGCCAATAAATTGAAGTAGAAGCAATAGAAGGAGCTCTCGGAAGCCTCAGAATCTTTACAGCTCGTCCTACCATTAAGGACGAACCCTTTCCCGACAGATGACGACTCCCGGAGCAGTAATAAACAAACTCAAAAAAACCTGGTAGTCGCTCTCTATCGATTCTTCATAATGCGGGCCTGTGGTAGGGTATGTGTACGGATAGATAGCGGAAGAGGAGAGAAGGAGAAAGAGAGAGTAAGGGACGCAGAGAGGAATGCACGAGAAAGGGCACATGAACACTCAGTAATCACGCACTCACTAACTTGCCCTGCCCTTCTGTCCCGTACTCTCTCACTCCCTCTCCCTGCAGATGCTTGAAGAGATGTCTTCCTACACACTTAAAAGGCTGACACATCATCATCTCATAGGTAAGGCACTTACCTGTTTTGCTTCTCTCCTTCTCTCTGCTCCTTTACCTATTTGTGGGAAGACGCGATGACAAACGTGGGGAAGGATTACATCAATACAGAGGTTAGAGTTTGACGTTAATAGAAGCGTGAAAGTAGTGCGTAAAACAAAGCAAACATTACTGTGCTGAAGAAGTACTGCTAAGGATTTAGTCATCGGCGTGATCGTGATCGGGATGGATCTGTGAAGAAGCGGCACAAGAGAGGTACCGGTCGGCAGTGGGTTTGAGGAAAGACTAAACCTGTAATCTTCCGGGTTAATGAGCACATCTAATTGAGCTATCAGGATGTGCTGAGCTAAACATCCAAAAAAGTTTTAACCTTAATCACCGAACCTATACTCTTTTTAGCTGTTCAGCTCTTGTAGACTCCTAACATCTCTTACTACCCTGTGTCACTTCATCAGACTGGTAGTAAGTGCACCAACATGAATCCAATATTCTTGGTAGGTATCACATATGCACCGAATTTCACCTGTGTTTGAGTCCTCATCGAACCTCTGCCTACATGTCATTCTAATAAATGAGGAAATACTATGACACGTAATTGAACAGGTGGATGATATCATCTATCTGTTCAGTTCAGTAGAACTATCTATACATATTTATGCTTAGGTCCACAGGTTACACTTAGGCTTAGATCTTCATGGTTTCACTTAGACATGTACTTAGGTTTTTACGATCACACTTAGGCTAGGCTTCATAGTCACATTTGTACTTAGGTTTAGATCTTCACGGTTACAATTAGACTTATGCTTAGGTCCTCACAGTCACATTTAGGCTTAGGCAAGAAATGACTTCTGATGCAAAATAAAGAAGGATGAGAAATGAAAGACTTCAACTCCTCATCTTCATCAGTATCGGTGATGTTGAGCAATGAAGAGAAGGAGAAATACAATTCACTAAAACGAAAGGAAACTGATCCGAGGGATAGTACTTCAATGAGGAGTTGAAAGGCGATGCTTTCTTTTCTTCCCAATTTCTCAGAACCGTCCATTCTTTGATGGTCATATAGCACAATTACGGTACTTTCTTTAGCGGTACTTTTTGGAGTCAAATGACAGTTTGTACAGTTCAGTGAGTTTGATCTAATTTTAATCTTATTTAGAAGTTGTCCATTAGAGAAGGAATGAATTTAGATGTGTAAAACAATTATTAATGTTAAATAGACTAGCAAATAATCTTTTTTCTTCAGGATATGACAGTAATTAATGAAAGAAAGAGTTGTCAGAAATTAGTTTAAAAGAGAGAACGATGGAACTGGTTCAATCAATTCGAAAAAGAAATAAAGAAGCAGTTGAGCTGCTCCCACTCGTGATTTGTCTTCATTAAACATTTTTTTGAACAAGTCTGAAAAGCCTTAGAAGATAATATCTGAATAGCAAGTGACTGAGGGAAGTACTTCTTTAATTCAGAGTAAAAAATGTTTGAAGATACCGAATTTGCATCTTTTCGGTATTCAGGAAAAAAAGACAAATCAAAGAAGACAATCAGTGGTAATAAAATTGGGAGAAAATAGGCATTTTTTTTTTATCTAAGTTTAAATATTTCACTAGCTAATTTATCTTCCAAGAAGGGAATAACAATATATTGTGGACTAAATAACCTTCATGCTTTATTAGCTATATATATATATATATATATAAATTAACAATTAAATGAAAAACAACAAGGACTTCTCCAGCAAGAAAAACAAGAAAATTCTTTAAATTCTAGAGAAAGCTTTTTGAAGAATCTACCCATAAATCTTTCCAAAAATGAACTGAACATACATTTATCATACACATAATGAGATTAACGGAAAAGGCTCTAGGGACAAAAGAACAAACAAAATAGTAGAATGGTGCCGATATTCATTCACTATCCCTGTATTATTAGCCAATCAATCGTTTTGGATGGCAAAAAAGAATTGCAGAAGTTATCTAATTGCTTTACCCAAGCCATTAAAAGAAGTTGCCCAGTTACACACCTTTCCCATTGACACAATGAAATAGGAAGAAGCATTTGTACAATACCAAACATTTCAATAAATTTGACTAATCATTTTGAAAAATGCTAGCATGAAAACAACCATCTACACAACTTCGTCAATTAATTAAAGATTAACTGTAAATGCAATGATAGAGTAAAACCAATGAATATTTGATAAAATGTTACACTCATCAACTGTAATAACTATGGATCAGGCGAAGCAAGGTCAATTTTAAATACCTTCTTAAAGACATATTACTTTATGGGAATAGGAAAGAGTAGCATTGAAATTCTGTAGTCGTCATTTGTTGCCACTTTCTTACCCTCCGCCGTCATCTTAAGCTACACAAAAATTCTGTTTCGATGAATTTATGATTTTGATCAATCAGTCCTATCTATGACAAGCAAAAAAGAACTGAAATAACAACAGCATTGCAGTAAAGAAAGTTGTTTCCGTTCTAAAAAATAACTACTTGTTTCGGATCAGAAACGATTGAATCTGTTATTTAACTTTCAAATGTCTGTCAAAATAATATATTAAATCTACAAAGCGATAACAGACCTACAAGGAAATAAACGAAATGAAATAAATAAATCCATAATTAGGACCAAAATACCTTGCACGTAGAATTTTGTCAAATGTTCTTATGGTAGGACCATCCTTTGCCTAATTTAAAAAAAAAAAATTCCTTTTTAAAAGTTCATAATGTAAGAAGAATTGTGAGAATGGGGAAGAATTTGTACACTGATTCCTCCTATTCCCAAACTCTTAATGTATAATGTCGAAAATAAAATAAAATGAAAAAGACAGACATGAACCATTTAACAGCAAACCTAAATAATAAGGAATCTGTTATCTTAGCTTCCAATTTCAACTGCCTCCTGAATTGCAATAAAGTGGTTTAAATTCAAGAAAAAAAAAATTTGAGTCATAATTCCAATTCATTCTCGTAGGATTTCTTTTAAGCCTGCCTTTCAAATGATTTTATTCAATTAATCTATCAGAATTCGACTGTCCATTGTCGGAGAAAATCGATGGAAAACGTAACAGTCTGAAATCAGATACTGAAAATAAAATTTTTAAACCATAAATTCCAAATAAATACAGTATCACTAGCAAATTTGCATTTCCAGCAAATAGTGCTTATGCTCTGATGTCTTTTGGTCGTAAAATCGTGTTGAAGAAATCTTTCGAATCTGGCATGGAAGAGAAGTGGACGGCACTGTTACTGTGAAATATACTTCTGACCAGTTACTTCCTTCCACAGCTGCTGTCACTGCTGTTGCTCATATATACAAACTTACCGAAATTTCATTTGTTTATCCAAAAGTTGAAGCCAAGTTTACATCAGCAACTGTCTTTTTTGTAAATAAAATTCATTAACTGATTGCTTCCAAGCAGCAATTATAGACTATCCGTTGGTTCTATCTTTTTAAAAACGAAAACAGGTGAAATTTTCAAGAGATAGAATTTTGGATTGTTTACAAATTATCATTTAGTTTAATTTGCTTTTAAATTTACCTACCGCTATTTTGATATGCTTGACTACATTTGAAATCGGTCAATGCTTCTATACGAAAAAAGTTTTATATTTTGGAAAGTGATGCAATGCTTCATAAACTGTTACTTTGATGCTTCGACAATCAATAAGGTCAAAATTAGCGGGAAAATATGGAGGATGCAGTAGAATAATATTTGGAGGGGATTGAACACAAAATGTTTTTTTCTTTTTTTTGTAATGGTATTTGTCTGTGACACTGATGCTCTATTGGGTCTAATTTCCGGCCGATATGGTTGTACCGATTGAATCGTCCTTACGGTCTCGTGTAACTGATACATGTAGCTTGAACTTGAAATTCTTTGTGGTACCAAAGTTCTTTTTAAAATTCGAATATGAATGTTGCTCAATTCACAAATCAGTGATATCAATGTTGTCATTGGTCGAAATTCTTATTTTAAAAACAAGGTTAGTTTGTCTGAACTCTTTATACCATCAACCATTTAGTAACTCATAACTTCTGTGCTACAACGATTAATTAGGTTTAAGAGACTGGTAAGTTTTAAGAGCATCAAATGAATTTGTACGACGAATTTGCAACAATGAAGCATAGATCGTGTATTTGATACTCAGACTGAAGTATAAATGTTCAATTAATTGGAATATATCGGATAATAGAAAAGTTATCAAAATATCTAGCAACATTTAGTAATATGTTTCGCTAAGCCCTTTCAGCCAGGTTTGTTTGCTATCATGAGTAGTAAGCAGTGTTGTTAATATAAATGAACTGCGAATGAATTGAAGTGATCAAAAATATGCTCTAATGTCCGTTACTACTTCAAAATCCGTCAAAAGCCACGTCAAGAATGAACTGTTTACGTATACATTTAATAGAAACATCGCCAGAGTGATAGAGAGAGAGAGAGAGATGCCATTTCCGTTCCGTCTTCTTTGATTCAAATCAGTTTTTTTCCTTTGCTCAGCACTCTATCGATTGAGAAGTTCAGCAGGGAGAGTTGTGCATTACGACATAGTAGAACGAATTTGAAAAAAACGAAAGGTAAGTATGACTTCTATGAATCTAAAGAGTGGACTGGTCAGACTAGAAAGGAGGGCTGAGAAGTGTGAAGAGAGCACAGGCATCAAAGACTAAGTGTGTTAGGTAGGGGAAAATGTATGGAACAAATGGATTAACTGTAAGTAATTCTTTGAGTTCAAAGTGGACTAAACTAGTTTGTTTGGCTTCTCTAATGTTAGGTAATGAAGGGATAGGGGAAAAAAGGAAAAAAGGCATTAAAATTACAGTTACGCAGCATTCTTTTGTTTTGTTTCAGCTCTATTTTGACTGTAAGTCTCAAGTATTGGAAATTCTGACACTCAAATTTTTCGGAAAAGATTTTAATTTCTATCAATTCCAGGAATATTAATGGAAAACTTGTGATCAGTTGTTAGCACAGGCTAGCAATTGACCTCATCCAATCAATCAATCGATACTTTTTTCGATAATTTTGCTGAAATTCAGATCAATATGAGAACAGAAAACTTATATGAACGTTAAATCCTAAACTACGAATTAACATTACTGCATTCTACGTCAAGCATCAGTGAAGAAACTGGACCAAGATTTTCTGAAATAGCTGTTAAATAGATAAAAAATGAAATATCTCCGTTTGCTCAGAAAAACTTCCGCTGAGCTATCAGAAGCGTGTTGTTACTGTTCAATAATAAAGCTGAAGTAATAAATGAAACCTGAAGGCATAGTTGTATTTTGCTATAGGTTTAAGAGAACTTAATCAGTTGAAATACGATCAAATTCAAAAAAGCGAAATCTGGAATTGGGTTATGCTGGACTTGCGTGAGAAATGTGATGATGACGATCATGATAACTGGAATTGCAACTTATTCGCAGGATGGAAAGGGTAAAACATTTCTTGCTTCACTTGGCTGCAATGTGCTTCGAAGGAACTACTGAAAGTTAGATTATTTTATTCTGACATATTATGTTTGTGCAACATCTTAATAAACTTCGCTTTTCCTTACAACAACTATAACAAAAATTTAATTTTTTGATCGATATTCCAAATTAAATTTATTGTAGATTTTGGCACATTAAAATTGTTGACATGCTTTAAGTCTCCATGACTGATACTATTGATAAATGTGTTTTCGGAAGAAGTCTCTTCGTTCTACAACTTGGCAGAGAGACATAGATACTCAATCAATGATTAAATCCGTCGAAAAAAAATTAAACTTATGACTGACTAGACTTATTCTGATCCAAAGGTAACCTAAAATAACTGCTTGTAAAATTATCCAATACGATAACAGACTTAACAGATTTGTTAATTAATTAAATTAAATAGAATATTATCGAAATCTCAGCCAAAATTTATTCTGTGTATCAAAGTATGGAGAAATCTAGCGCAAACAATAGGATTTGTATTTTCGCAGCGCTCTGTTGCTGTGCTGGGTTCAGCCATTTCTTCCTCAATTCGTTGAAAGAGACTTTTTTGCTTGCTGTTAGGTAAAAAGAGTGGCGCTTGAATTTGTGGTCATTATTGTTCATTATTGACACTTATTTCTAATTACGAAACTCTCAAACAGCAATTTCGAAAGGAGTAAACAGTTAATTGAAGGAGTGAATAGTGACTGCAATTCGGTCAGGTGGGTAAGCGTCAATAATTGAATAATCAGATAGCAATTTCACGAATCTTTATATTCATTTTGGATTGGTTTATCAAATATCTTTTTAGGAGCACCAGAAGTTCCTTTATGTAAACTACCCAGAGCCATGGACCAATAACCTGGTAAGTGCTAGATTAAAGTGTGCTTATTAATTTATGTTTTGCCTAAGCTGACTAATTTCATTTTCTCTATTTCTTTGTCCTAATCGGTCCGGTTGTCGTAACGCTCAGAATCTCGTCTTTTTTTTTCTTTATAAATTACTTTTAGATTCCGGGAGATTTTCAAAAGGACATGTTGGTAGCTGCGCAGTCACTAAGATTGGAAATGCTGCTAGGCATTTTGGTTAACTTCTTAGCACTATGTCAATGTCAGAAAGTGATGAAAATTAAGTTTCTCTTGTACAGTTAAAGTTGTGTTGAATTCTTTAATTAACTAAATGTACACCAATTGGTTGCGGTTAATTCATGTGGCAGTCATGCCTTTTTTTGTAAAGAAAGAGCTAGTTTTTGTTCGAAATAGCATGTTTTTTGAACAGAGCTTTCACTGATATGATAGCATCTCTGTTCGACTTGTTTATCTGTAAATGAGTTGGTTTTATCTGCATAAGTTGAAAATAATTTATGCTGTTTTTCCATGCGAATTTATTACTTTGTAACCTATCTGACTACAGTTTTATCAGTTGTTTCGTTTTTAGATGTGCTAATAACAGCAAATGATGAAAAATTGCGTGATCCAGAAGGATACGAAGCTATAACACAATTGCATCATCAAATGGATGACGACCAATCCGGTTCCATCGATCGGTTCGAGTCAACGGATGTAATAATGCTTCAACAAATTTTTGTTTTTGGAGAGGAAAAGAAAGATGTTTTTTAAGATGAAAACTTCAACAAAACTCAAACTTATGTCCGTAGTCAACAACTAATCATTTATTTCGCCCCATTCCTATATCAATTATTATATAATTCTATAAATTTTCAGTTTTTAAAAGAAGATATGCAGTTGGGAGGTTTGGATCGGGCCAAGCGAGAACGTGCTTTTCATCATAACCATGACGAGTTGATAACAGTGGACGACTTATGGGAAGCGTGGTTTGCATGTGAGGAACGCTCTTGGACAACAACTGATATGGTGAATTGGTTGGAAAATACAGTTCGCCTTCCACAATACGCATCTGTTTTCATTGGGATGGAAATTGATGGTCGAGCTTTACCCAGGTCGGCTTATTGTGAGTATTGATTAATTTTTTTTTGACACTTTTCTCGAAGCACTATTTTGTCTATTTTCATCCTTTTTTTTACAACAAAATTAAGAAGTATGATGGTCTTTATGTATTAAACTTTTGTTATATTCTAAATTAAATCAGAAATATGCTTCTCTTTAAGCAGAATAGTCCGTGGGTTGAAATAGTAACCAAGTTCTTATGGATAACTGCAGTGAAATCCCACTCTGAATATTACAATTTTTAGAATGGCTGTTGCTAATTCGACCTATTTATTGACCGATTTGGGCATCAAAAATTCGGTGCACAAGCAGAAGTTGCGTTTGAAAGCATTAGATGTCGTCCTTTTTGGTTTTAGTGGTCAGTTTTTTTGATATTTATTTAGAATTGATGCAGCTGATTGGTTCAAATTGCTGTTTAGAAAAATAGTCAATTATTTTGTATGTTTGTAATACTTTTTAGAAAATTTTTTTCTTCAGACGGTAATACATCTCGGCTTAAAGATATTGCTTTATCAATCTTAGTGATTGTATTAGTTACGGTGCTTTTTGTTCTCAAAATGCAGCGAACACGATCGCATATGCAAATGGAGCAACTGGCGGCGAAATTATCGCAGTTGAAATCAATGCAAAGCAATTTTGAAGATATCCAGCAGAAGTCAGCGTTTTTTCCTACAGTATTTTTAAAATGAACATCAAGAACAGCATTTTGCCCGTAATTGACTTTAGTGATCAAGTATATTCATTCTGAGCTGGATGCATGGACGTACAAAGATATTTCTTATTAAATGCCGAACGAAGTAGTTTTCATTGTGATTTAATGTATTTTTTTTTTTGGGGTTTTTACTCTAGACCATGCTGCTCATTTAAATAAATTTTAATGTTAAGATTTGAAGAGGAACAAAAAAAACGACAATCAAGTCGAGGTGCAGCAGAAAACGAACAAGTTGAAACGGTTATTTTGCTAATTGCATAACAGCTTAGTCGTTCTTTTTAAAAATTAACTCTCATTTGTTTCCCAATATTATACTATGAATATGATTTGATTTACTGACTAATACTTTTAGCTGAAATCACAACTTATGGAAGCTGAGCGTTTGCTAGAAAATTCTGGTACGGCTCCTCTTGCTTTACAGCCGTTGTTAAGAAGGTTCGTTGTTATAATGCAATACTTGATCAAAATAGTTACTTGAAGTCGAAATATGTATGAAACGCTTTGAGAAATAGTACTTAACTTGGATGGTGCACAGCATACTGTGCAAGACCTTCAGAATGCAGAAATTCTCTTGAATAACCATTTTCTAAGTTGCTCATAGTCTTGTAACTAATTTTTGGTGTTTCGCGACATTTGGTGCATTTGAATTAGGGAGTTTCAGAACCATTATAGCATTGGCTTATCAAGTTGGATCTGCAAATTTATAGTCTAATTGAAGAGGCCGATACAAAGTTCTTATCAAAGCACTTGAACATTCTAAAATTGCTTTTGACTCTGATTTGCAAAGTAACATAGAGATTGTGGCTGTTAGCAAAGAAATGTGAACTTTGTTAAAACCAGAAGAGAAGATTCTTTCTGTACTATTTTTAGGACCTGTGAACTGGAAGTAAGTTACATTGGACAGCAACGAATGGAATGTATTGCTGAAATGAGAGAAGCCATTGAACATATCGATAAGCTTCGGAAAAAACAGTCAAGCCTTGTTTCCTCTATCAAACTTGCTACAGGTGCTTCATCGGGAACAGACCACATCGATTCGCGCATTTTTGCTCTAAAGTATAAACTTTTAAACGATTATGATTAAGATGAGGTTCTTGCTTGTAACTTGACAGTGACTTGTTCTCTAATCATTTGAGAACAAAGAAATACTTGGTGACTAGACAAAGTGTTGTCAATGCTGTTGCTAACTCTGAATAATTTCCAATATTCATTTCCATAAAAAATGACATAAGCAACAGAAAGACAAGAATTGGAAGTCAGGAGGTAATTACTGAACCTCAAGCGTACTTGGCTAAGTGAATTTAAGAAGAGGTACAAAATTCATTCAGTATTCATTAAGAGCTCGAATGGAAAAAATCTCATTGGCAATGAGTGAGTGTCACCAGCGGTGGACTGAAATTGAATCGCTTTGTGGTTTCCCATTGGTTCCTACGTCAGTTGCGGCTGGTAACATTTTGATCAATTTAATGCTTGACATTTTATAAGATGTTTCTCCTGAACTTTATTTTGACCATATTCAATATTTAATCAGTTGTTATCTCTTTTCAAGTTTCTTTTTCTGTAGTAAATTTTTTGAATTTGCAGAAATAGTATTTCCTTCTACAGTGGCTAGTAGTGTATTACCGAGAAGCGGATCCTCCAGTTCATTTTATCGTAAATCGGGTCAGTCATATTCTGAATGTTTATAGTGATTACAGTATCAAAATTCTCATTTTTTTGCTGCACCATCCGTTATTGCCGGATATGAAATGTTTAGATGTGATCTTGATATTTCCTCTTGCCAGCATTTCCAATTGATTATCGTTTGTTGAAGTAATCCTTTTGATTCTCCATTTAAAAGTTCCTTATCCAGTTTGTTTTTTTTTTTTTTTTTTTGTTTCTGACTCAAAAGCATGTTTTTACTAAAGAAAAGTAATGCTTTTTTTATGCTCACGTATATCTTATGCTATTTATTATTTTTGATTTTTTATATTTTGACGTTGAAACTTGAGTAAGTACTTTGATCTATTGTTTGCTGATAAAGGAATAGTCGTCCGTTTGAATTTTATAGGATTCTGGAACTATTATTTTATTTTGTTTGGTCTACCTATTTTTTATTAAATCTTGCTAACAATTTTGCTAATTTAGTTTGTGTTACCAAGCATGTTTAGATTTAGTTGGTGCTACAGTGACGGCAAGCATGGCTTCATCCTCTACATCTGGAAATAGTCCACCTGTTATAATGGAGGATATTAGAGGTCGAACATCACCACCAGTTTGTGTTTGTACTTACGAAAGTTTTGCATCTGCGGGGGCTCGATATATGGATTCTTTAAATTCGCAAAGAGATATTCACGAGAACGGGAATGCTTCAAGACCTTTAAAAGTTGTAGCCGACAGCAATAAACTACTTCAGCATTCTTCGTCTTCCGGATTTAGCAAATGCTGTCATATCGGGCCCGTTGCCAAAATACAGACATCCCGAAATCAAAGTATCGGTCCTCTCATGGAAACTGTTACTGATGTTATATCCGAAACTCCAACAGTTAATAAAGTGATTGCCCCCACTGCTTCGCTGTCAACAACTGTCAATCGTTTTTTACCGTATGCTTTCTTTTTTTGGTTTTCATGCTTTTTTTTTTTTTTTTTTTGCAAGATTCTGATAGTAGAAAGTAAACATTTATCTTTTAGAGTATATATCTTAATAATTACTGGACAAGTGATCAGAGTAAATTTAAAAACAAGTTTAAGAAACTGTGTAATCACTATTTGCCTAAGTAACATCACTTTAGTAGTGAGAGTTTAATGCATGTTTTAACTATTTTTCCATCTCTTTAATGTTCTTACATTTTTTTTTTTTTTTTTTTTTTTTTTTTAACAAGCATATTTTCATTTTTATTCTTGCATATTGGTGTAACGACTTTTTTCAACCTGGTTTCTTTTTTTTTTTGATCAAACAGTACAAAAAAGAATTAAAATATAAAAGTAACAGCTTTTTGGTGAACAAGACATGTAAGCATTTTTTATTCATTTGTTTGGTGATGTGAAATTTGATGGGCCTGGTTTCAATTTATTGCTCCAGTTTATTTGATAAGAGACGATTTTATAAGTTTCGGAGTATTTGTTAATGATATGTTCATTCTAGGTTCAAGCAAGATTTAAAGCTATTAAAACGAAGTGTGTCAAATGCAATATTCAGGCCTTCATCGAGTACCAAAACAAATGGATTTGTAGTGGTTAAGGGAAAGAACATGACTGATATAAGAAAGTCGAGATTTGGGAATTTCTTTCACAGATCATCAAAAATTTAATTCATCTGGTTTGATTCTTTGTAAAATTGCTTATATTCTTACACAAATGTGCAACAATTTGGTTTTCTGCTGTTACTAATTACTTTTCTCCTTTACGCAGCTCTAAAAAGTTTTTCTTCAATCCTAGTAAATGATTTTTTTAATCAGTTCAATATATATATATATATATATATATATATATATATATATATATATATATATATGCATAATCCTCAAAAAAAAAAGATTTTTTAGGAAATTTTGGAAAATGGAAACATCCGCATTAGTAAAGTTAATAAAGGAAAAGTTCTTACTCTATTGTGTTTTACTAAGTGGTAGTCTTCTAGAAGTTCTATATGCATTTAGTTCTATATCAAGCTTCCATTTGTTTAAATTTTCTGTAAGGTTCATGGAATATTTATGTACAGCTATCAATTTCAGATTTTAACTTAACCTTCGAAGCAAAAAAAGTATGGCAACGTTTAAAATTTTTTGTAACAGGTGTAAATTTTTCTTTAAATGAATTCATCAAATGATAGACAGGACTAATCGTTATCTAACCATTACTATTGAAGTTCACTTTTGTCTCGTTGTATCCAGTCTTTCATCTGTCAGCGTCAGGTTAGCTGATTGGTGTTAGCCAGAAATTTTTCTAGGGAAAAAATTTTCTTAAATTTCTGCCAAATTTGTTTAGTGTTGTGATCGAGCAGTGTCCACTGGCTAAGTGGTTGTTCTTTTCTATATCCTCACATAAACATCTCAGTTTTCAGTTTTATTCCTGAAATAACTTTCTAATAGATTCACGAATTTTCGTGAACTGAAAGCTAATTGGCCTTAGTTTGGCTTTTTTTTACCGACGTTTTATCTATCTTCTATTTGCAAGAGAGATAAATGGTTTACTGATTTGGGATTTTATTTTTTGTTCAGTTTTTCAATTAAGCAATTTTTTTGAACTTTCTTAATTTTTTTGTTTTGGTGTTTTGCGAAGTGTTGTCTAGCTATGACTCGGGTTGAAATAGAATTCTTTTGTTAATGTATCCTTTCTTTCGTCGTAACTGATATTAATTTTTTAAGCTATGCTAAAATAATAAAAGAATATCCATATCTTTATATTCTCAGACATAACGATTTGCATTGTTTCGTATCCTCAGTTCGGGTAACACTTCCTATGCTTTTCATTTCATTATTCAGAAACACTTCTGAGTTCCTTTTGTCATATAGGGAAATGGATTATTACTTCCCAAACTTTATTTTGTTTTTGAATGAGATTACCTTTTTGCTTAAGTTTGATTTGTCTTGTGACTATTTTGGGTCCAAAATTTGTTAGTGTTGCCATAAAAAATTCAGAATCCTTTACGTTTGAAAGACAATTTGAATATTCCCACTGTTTTATTTCGCATCAGTGATTAAAAAATGATATGTTTGATGACTTATTAAAATGAACAGATCTTTTTTCACATAATTTTCATATAATTGTTGATGTTTTGATGATCGTATGGCATGTCGGAAATCTTGTTCACATATAAAAAGCTGTGATTATTTAAATGTTTAAGTTTGTGCTTATTCCTTACTTTTTTGCATCAAAATTGTTCACTTATGAAATGAGTTTTTTTATACTTTTGCACTATTTTCAGTTATAAAGTTCAATGATTTTTCAATAAATTAAGAATGCTTTAAGATACTTGACAGTTATTCCTGAAATGTTCTTTCCGTTTTCATATGTATGCTTTTCATATATGATTGAAAAATGGTATTTATCATATGCATACTAGTATATATTCTATTCTGTTTCTGGTTTGTAGAGTTGTGGTTTGATAAGGAAACAATAGTTTCTTTCCTAAAAATTATTGGAAAAGACAGCTTATATTTCAGGCCAATTTCTATGCAGAAGTATTTAGATAAATTGCGATTTTATTTAGATCATTTGACGCAGATTATTTTATGGTTGGGGAATTCAGTGGGAAGTTAGGAAGGATGTGTTGGGTTGTTGGAAGACGTTAACTCTTTTTATTATTCGCATAATTTCATGCAGTTCATGTCTAACCCTGAAAGTAGGAATGTTTCGTACTGTTTCATTTATTTATTTTTTAATTTTTTGGTTCTTTTGGTGCCAATAATACCAGTGCTTTTCTTTGGTAACTTTTTTTTCTTAATTTGAAAATGTCTTTTGATATTGTAAATAAATTTGTTTTTGGGAATCGATTTCTTATATCAATTCAAACGTACACTGGCGTTTAATTTTAATTTTAATTTTAAAAGATTGATATTCTCATATATTGATTTTACGGTGAATTTTGTGCTCTGTCTAGAGACAACTCAACACTCAACGGGGACGCTTCACGAAAATATGGGAAATTTTTTTTTTAAATAATATAAATTTCCATTTCAGGATGAAGTCCGGTTCAAAACCTTTAGAAATGAAAGGATAGTAATGGTATAAATTACTCTGCGGTAACATGTGTTCATTGGCTTATGTTTTTTAGGGTTTTAAGGAATATGACTCAAAGCAAAAGAATTGAAGATTTAAGATCAACGATGTTGTCTTATGAGACGGGAATAGATCCGGAAGGCAATTCAAAGGCTGTAGTGGTCAAACACATTCCCTTCGGATTCTTCGAGAAGGAGTTGTTGAATTATTTTTTGCAATTCGGTACTGTTCAACGAGTGCGAGTTGCAAGGAACAAAAAGATATGCTCATTCTTCACAGCTTACAAATTCTAGTTTAATTGTTAATGTTGCTTTCATATAAATTCGTAGCTACATTCTCATATTTTTCAGTTTTGTTTGCTTTTATGAGTGGAACAAAAACACCTAGGTGGGGTGAACACACGTCCATCCTTCCGAAATGACTTGAAGATGGTGGTTCACATTTTCTGGACTTTACGCATCCCTCGAATTTAAGTCGGGGAAAGGATCTCTAATTTAGAAGTTCATTCCGTCAATCGGGTTTCTCAATTTCATCAGATCTTGCTTTTTCGTTAAACTAAAATATTAGTTTTGTCATTAAATATTGATTTTTTTAACACATCTCACGGAAACGTGTGCTAGAGACAGCTCATGATTTAACATGGATTTATTTATCTGGATTTTTTATGGGACATTTATGTACTTTCATTTTCAGACCGGAAATCATAAAGGATGGGCTTTTGTACTTTTCACAAATTATGAAGTAGCACAATTGGCAGCTGAGGCTATGGATGGTTATCTGATGTTCGAAAAACGACTTGAATGTGGGTTTCTAACTTATGTAGCACAAAATGTTTTCCGGTAATAATGAAAACTTGCACAGCAATTAATTCTTCCTAATGTTGTAATTACAGCAGACTTAAAGATGTTCATTCCAGGCAAAGTAATAAAAAATAAAGATTTCCCATCCTGCTTACGTAAAGGACCACGAATAATTCCACCACCGTTAAAAAATGCTACTAGGAAACGCCATGCTAAGAAACTGAATAAGATACAAAGTGGATGGTGTGAAGAAGCAGCAAAAGTATGGTTTATTTCCAGAATTTATATTATCAATACAAAGAAAGCATAAGATAGGAATTAGAACTGCATCATAGAATCAGAAATAATTTAGAGTAACAATTTTCTATTCATTTTTTATATTTCAGAAACGACTACTGAAGAACATAGAAATTAGGGGAAGTGAATTTGCTAAACTCGGTTATCAACTGCCACCCATTGTCGGACTGTCGGAAACGAAAGTATTTTCTTTGGATTTTTTTGCTAATTCTTTGCTTGGTTTATCGTGTGTATTATTCTTATCTCATGCAAAAAATTTCTCAAGGAATAAGTATGGGATTTGATAATAAATTTGGAAATTTTTCAACGTTTCTTAAAGAAGGTTCAATTTTTGAAACTAGTGTCAAGCAAAGAAATTCTTCTATACTCTGCCATAAAGACCTTTTAACAGTAATTTTTTTTCTAGGATTTTAATATTTAAAATTTCATGTTATCACTATAATAATGGACTGCAAATTAATTCATAACAAAAGGATATTCGAGCAAAAAAGAGAAAAAAGAACGAGGTTAAGATTTTTTTTTGATGCGACAAGTTTTTCTTATTTCTCTAGTTTCAGCAAGTTATGCCAGTGATTAATAAAAGAAGCCCTGTGAAAGCTGAAGTAATAAAATCAGATGATGCAAAAAATCAGGTTCAGGCAAGCGATCCAAAAAATTGAAGAAAAGCTTTATTGCAAGAAAGACTACAAATGATTGACATGATAAAATGCGAAAAATGGAATAAGAAACGTTCTTCAATTTCTTTGGATTGGTTCATACTACTATTGCTACTCTAGTTTTGTCTGTATTGTGTTTCCTGCATCGAATAAAAGTTTTCAATTATATTATGACATTTGATATTTTCATTAGTAAAAGATTTTGGGCGACCGAGTATATTCTGTAGTTCTGAAGCGTTCACATCGATTTTTGTTAGGTTAGTACTAGATTAATATGTCGTATGTTTATAAGTTCGATTATATACTTTGAGTACAGTACTTTTAATTGGAATATTCACTATTGATAAATCTAAGTGAAACATTATGCCGGGTCTAATGTTTCGCAGATTACGTGAGATAAATATAGGATGGCAAATTCTGATAGATTGGTTCATTGAATGTGTTATGAGTCGGCTCATTATGTCCGGTAAGTTTCCGTGTCTATTTCAGTAAAAGCTACCGCTTTAAGCGATCTATCAAGTCCTGATTTGTTATTTCTCAATTCTCATATCTTTACCTGCAGTTTCCCACCTTTGCAACTGCCGTCAACATTTTCTGCTACTACCGAACAAGGACTCCAAATGACTTTTATCCTTTGAATTGATACGATCTGGTGATCTTCAAAGAAATCTGTAATTATTAAGTATGTTCAGTGATCCTTGATCATTTTTTCATATGTTACAGACAAAAAAAAAAAGAAAGGAGCTAATTTCTTTCTTGAATTTCCATAACTTGTCCTCATAACTCTCAGCACTGATTTCATCGCTAATCGCTTATCTGTCGTAGCGATCCTTCACCTAAGCTTGCTGTTCTTACCTTTATAACGTATATTTGTAGCACTATACGACCTTTGCCAACTACAAGGTTCATTCATTTACTATTACTGCTACAAGTAGTAGACAAGCTATTTAACCTGCACTACAAATTAATTTCACAGTTTCAGTCTCTCATTCAATCAATCGGATCGTAAGCACAAATAGTATTTGACAGAATGCCACAAAAATCGTGTCTGGCGAATGATGAATTGAAAGTTCCCTGCTGCACTGATTTGTGAGTTAACATTTTCTAATTTAATTTAGCTAACATCAATTTACTTTGGAAGTTCTAAATCCTAAATAAGTCTTAAATAATTTTCCTTGCAATTAACTTAAAAATTTTGTTTTTATTTGCTAAAACAGGTAAAACATGTTAAAGGGAATAAAGGCAGTACTTTTCATATCTGACAATTAGATAGCTAAATGTTATGCATCATTTTAAAGTTAACTTCGTTTCATTTTCGGGTCCTCAAGCTTGCTGTATTCTTGCTACCAAAAACGATAATTTTCTCATATTGTACAAGATCCGGTAGTCTTAGGCTTTTGATGCTAATGAACTCTCTCTGTCTCTCTCTCACTCATATCTTCCTCCTCATGTCCCCTCTTTTCACAGTCCTTGTCATATCACAATTTTCAGTTTTCAGCTTTCAGCTTCAAAGAAAATCTTTGAAATATTTTTTCTGAATTGCAAAATTATGGTCTTCCAAACTCAATTACACATGTCTATTAGTTATGCAGTTAAAATGTTGTCGAATGAAGTAGTTACATGTTTGGGCAAGAAAACTGATGAAATTATTTGATAAAATTCAACAACAGCAACATTTGACAATCATGTTGGTGTAGTGATAACAATCAAAATGCTGACGACGATGATCATGCCAACGATATGATGACGGTGCAGCAACGATCATAATGATGATGATATGTTATCAATAGCAGCGCTACTGATACACTATGATAACGGCGGAATTAAGGGTGATAATGAGGATAGCGATAACGATAACGATAGTGATGATGATAGTGGTGATCAAATAAGAAAGCAAACGACTTTCAATATCATGCCTTTGCTATTTTCCTCCTTTTCTCTTAGCCTTTTCGTTGTACATGAAAAAAAAAAAAAACGAACAATAATAAATATAAAGCATTTGAAGTAAGAGTGTGGAAACCTGAATTTCTTTCTTCGACAGTTATAGTTGTGAAATTTATAATGAAGGAAGAGTAAAACTTTTACAAAGTTTTTGGTTATCAGCTCACTAATATTAATTAATTTATAAAATTTACTACACATATAAATCTGCTCCATCGTTTTTAGCTATTTCGTAAAGCTGTTTTTCTTGAGATCTTGTCTGTCTTCCTTCAAATTTTATTTAGGTCCAAAGTTGCTCAAAGTAATTGGAAAATGAAGTAGTCAAAGATCAAGACAGAAACAGAGAAACGAAGATAGTATGAAGTAATCATATCAGCGCAAAACACGCTCTATTTAGTCACCTATTTAGGTGTAACGTATTTTGAAAAACAGGAGAAAGGGTGGAATATTCCAGAAAAATGAATATTTCTTTACCTTAGCTGTTTGAGGCATTTATTTTTCCCAATTGCAACAATAATCTCTCTAGTCGCATTAATTTATACACAATCAGAACAATTTCACTAGATAATTGCCGTAATGTATTGAAGTAAATAATTATCTCAATTATAGATAAAAGGAGGGTAATGAAGCTTCATTTGTATATTTACTAGAATGGGAAGCCAACAAAACGAAGAAGCATTGGCTTTGATCGAAGAGAAATGAATGTGCGTGCATATGTGTATGGTGCACGGGGAGTGTACATAAATGTGCAGACAGATCTGCAAGCGACTAAATTAATTGCTTTCTAAAATTGCGTTAAATTAGTTCGCGTAGGAACTTTCTTTGAATGAATGATTAGAAGGCATCATCCAATTACTCTCTCGTTCATAGCAGTTTATTTCGATAATTGTTGAAGTGAGGAGTAAGGAGCATCTAATTAATTGCCATATTGAGGGGTAAGGTTTCTTTCTCGAGATTGTCTCGAGAATGGCGAGATAGTGTTAGAGGAAGAGAAAAAAGAGGCTATTGTTACAGGTGAAAGAGAAGAAGACTGACTGAAAATCCATCAAAATGTAGCTTAATTAACTTAATTAACTCTATCAAATACAGGCAGTAGTGAAGCTTATTGTTCCTTTGTCGATTATTCTCCTATCCGCTCTTCTTCATTCAGCTTTTGGAGGCGGGACTTTAGGAAATAAACCAATTAATTTAGGGTTTAAAGTGAGATGGGAAAAGAGTAATGCTATATGGTCATATGGAATACGGTAGGATGGTTGTGGAGAGGAATAGGCGTGACAACAAATTTCTATCAGATGGATCCAGGAGGACGAAAAGACTGAAGTGACAAAGAGGCGCTGCCTATTGCCCTTCTAAATTACTGAATTAACAATTCCCAAACAACAACCTCGGTTCCTTTCGTCTTTATTGTATCACTGCGCCATCTATTCCCCTCTGTCATTTATAAAATTATCGCTATCATTATAGTTAGCCTTCATCAGCACCAATACCATTTTGTTGTGGCTGTTATTAACTTTATTATTAATCATTAAGGTAGCTGATGTTTTCCTCTTCTTATTGCTTTATAATCGTTGTGTTTTGTTGTTATTATTGTCTGACGTTTCTAAAATTACTGAGTTTTTTTAAAAAGTTTGTAATCCAGAATCAGGAGTACAAATGTGAGCAAGAGAAAAAAATATTTTTTTAATCTTTCTTGCATTTAAGTATTATAATTAAATTAAGATTTAGCAAATAATAAAGAGATGTCCGTGTCTTCTTTACCTGATTGTTGTTACTGTTTACTTATGTTATTTATTATAATTTATGCTCAGCCATCATGGTATGCCTAGTTTGTAAATAAAATATATTACTCCGATTGCTGGGCTTTTTGCTCATAAAGATTAGAAGTACCATACGCAACTATTGCTTAGAAAAACTAAGTAAGCTGAAATTACATAGAAGTTACGCATTGGTAGCACAAGAAGAATGTAATTAACTGAACATCACAATAAGTTTTAAATTGAGATTTCAATGAAAAAAATAAAATGCAGGAATTATTGATATTGGGCTCTTTCGACTAGTAAATATTCAATTAACTTATAAGTTGTTTCCGTCACTGTTTCTGAGTTTTCCAAAACGATTCATGAAAAAAAAAATACCGAAATTAGTATACGAATTCAGATAAACATCAAGTTTTGATCCGAAATAACGATGGCAGCCGCAATAGTTTGTCACTGAAGGCTGACAGGAAAAAGGCGAAAAAAGAAAAATCTCACCTTGCCGCTAACTTTTGTAGATAAATAAAAGTTTTTCTTCCTTTCAATGCTAAGGTTTATTTTCATGAATTGTCTATTTCATGTTTGCTTGAAATTGTGTATCAAGAGGACTAAATGTGAAAGTATTGACAAACTAATTATTGTCTATGAAGAAAGAAGCCTGAAATTAGTCAATTAAAATAGTACTGATTAAATAAATAAATATTCGGCAGGATTAGCTAATTCTGGAAACTATTCAGTTATGTATCATCGAATTCATTCTATTATTCAGATGGATAGTACATCAGATTCCGTTTCCGAAGGCCTATCTTCACCGGAGCTATTACATCGTAGTAGTGGAGAATCATATCAAACGAGTTCCAAGCTAAAATTCTCCATACAGAACATTTTGAGACCAGATTTCGGTAAGGTAAGAGTGTTTCAATGATTGAAAAACAAAATAAATTTTCGTTTCGCCAAATAAAATTGTTTGGTTTTAAAAGAAGAAAGTCTTGATATCTTTCAAAAAAAAAAAAAAAAATTCAAATATTTTTCCGTTCTAATTCTCACAAACCAAGTGAAATTTACAAAATTTTCCATAGTTTCTTAATTCGATGTTTGGTTTAAGTTATAGAAATATTGTTAATATTGCCTTCCAAAGGTAATATTAACGGTATTGTGTAGCGTTAATCTTAATTATATGACCTATCTTATTCATCCTAGATGCTATCTTTATTGCCACATATGACACCTTCAATTACATTCAATTATTGTTGTAACGGTATCAATATTTGAGCATCCAATACTTTAGATCTTGACCATTCTTTTGAACTTTTTAGGATTCATTGCTTCCTGGATATGACGATTAAATATGAGGCTGTTTGTATACCAATTAATTCCATCTGACAATGACCATTACTGCTGAAAGTTATATAGATTGAGATTTGTAAGAATATACGTAATTATGTTCTTTTTTTTCAGCAGCACGAGACAGTTCTAAAGCCATGTGTATCAACAACACCGGACAACATGAATACAGTATTCCCAGCTTGGATATATTGTACTCGGTATTCCGATCGACCGAGTTCAGGTACATTTCGGAAATGTTTTCAAATAAAGTGGACCAAATGTAGATGCATGTAGGTAAGTGGTAGATCAAGTTGTCTTACCATATGCCATGCTAGAAGTTTTAAAGATTGCAAATTTGAACAGCGACTGTAGAAAGAGCTGAGATATACGATTGCGTAACTTCCTTACTATCTTCATGTCTCTTCTTGGCAAGCATGCTAATTTGCATACGTTTGCATCATTACATCCATTCATCCATCAAAACTATTTTGTATTTATCAAATACAGTTATCACGCATTATAATTATTACTTATTCATGAGAATAATTGCTGAACAAATCCTTATAATTAACAATATTGATATGTTTCCATCAGAAGGTTATGAGTTTTCGTCATTCGTCAACTCATGTATCATTCATTTAAACATTATGGGAAATTATTAATTTGCAGTGAAATTTTCCTTAATTTTTTAATTTGATTTACTATGAATTGTTTTTGCTTTAGGGCCAAGGTCACGACGAACGAAACGGAAAGAAACAAATCTTAATGACGACGAGAAGCGACCACGAACGGCATTTACTGCTGAACAACTAGAACGGTTGAAACAACAGTTCATGGATAATCGGTACCTGACAGAGAAACGGCGTCAGGAATTAGCCCATGAGCTTGGCCTAAATGAATCACAAATCAAAATATGGTTCCAGGTTAACTTTACATTTGTTAAATTTTTTTTTTGTTGCGTTTTGAATGAAGCCTTCATTAGCAGAACTTAATTCATCATCTATCTTCATAACATTCAGTTTCTGTTTCTACTCCGAATCCTTTTCCAGTAAAAAACATCTTGACTATCAACTAAAATATAGGATAATTAATAGATGACTTAAAATTAAAATTTTTTCTTCATTAACGTTCCAATATTTTCCTGTCAATGTTTCTTGATAAAGTTTGCTGAAGAGATATCGAGCAGGAAAGAGAATGTGCGATGGACACCAACGTAATTCTTCCTCGATCTTGTCTTCAAAAGCTATCTTTGACCGTAACATTGCGGAGTTTTGTTAATTTGTTGAAATTAAGGAGAAATAAAAAAACAAGAAAACAGCGGATGTATAAGAGAGAAAAGTGTTTGAATAACAGGAGATGAGGAAGGAAGGAAGGGTCTAAATAGATGGTGAAAGAGGCGCAAATGTGAATGGAGAGGTGTGAGTGCTTCTTCCGGATGACAAACTTTACATATTCGTTCTTGTTGGAGATTGAGATTTTACGCTGATAATGGATAGAGTTGAAAGTCTGAGCGTATGGATAGTCCCATATTCAAGGTTCATTCTTGAAATGGTTTTCATCCATTTTAATCCTCCTCGGCAGGGAAGTTTCCGTAAACATTCACCATATCAATTAATTCTTTTTGAAAATATGGATCATAACATCTAGGTCACATATGTTGAATCTCATGACTTCATTTTACTGTAAGTTGTTGAAGTAAAAAAAAATTTGGTAATGTAATTTGCCTCTCGAACACTTCTCGAAGACAAACAAACATGATTAAACTACTGATTTTGATTTTCTTTTATGTTTTTTCGCTTTTATGAAACTGCGTTGATTTCTACTAATATTTTGGAATTACTGTAAAACACTACTTAACAATAATAAATAGAAGTGCATAGCAGACAGGTGTGCACATAGAATAATCGATTATTTGATCAGTGTTAATAAAGATTTCGAAAAAATCATCATCATTTGTTCCTACATACAATGGGAATAATTATAATGATGATGGTGATGTTATCAACAGTCATTCTATTATTGTATTACCAGTTTTGCGTCATGTCGCTGTCTTCCTGCATTCCTGAAATTGAGATATTAGATAAGTAAAGATTTGAAAAGTATATCTTCAAGTGCAACAAATAAGAAAATTCCTTTTTTTTTTTCTTTTTTTAAGGATAGATTCAGTCATTGATCAGTTGTGAATTTATTGTTTTCATTCTTTTCAGCCCGCAATTTCACCTCTAAGGAAAATGGATGAACTAAATTTAAGAAAGACTGACAGTTTTGCATATGGAAGTACGGGGCATAGATTTGTGTCTCCATACAAGCCTTGTAATCATTAAATATCGTTTTAGATGAATTTATTTATTATCAGGCAGTTGAATCTTGCAACTATCTCTCTGTAAAATTTGCCGCTATGGGCAATGGACATGTACCTCCGTCTGAAATCAATTTTCTCTAGAACTTGTCTTTTGGATTATGTATTTGTTCATGTTAACTTTCTTCTCAAAGAAAAGCCGAAAAAATTGCTCACTAATTTCTCATTTCCTTCCGTTTGTCTTGATTTATATCTTCATCTTTTTCTTCTAGCTTTTTCCTCCTATAATTGCACAATGTAATTTTCTAATTAGTGAATGAAATTTTCGTGATGTCTTACCGATTCATTTGCGATAAAATGAAAAAATCATCTCATTTCATGATAACTTTGTTCATAGCCATCTTGATAAATCGTGTACGGCTTGCATATTGAGTAATCCTACCAGTGTCAACTTCAAACACTTTCAGTATCAAAATAGAAACCACATGTATGAAAAAACTTGCTATACAAAAAGTCGACATCAAAAAGTTTAGTTATGTAGCAAGCTGTTCCAATACAAATTTCGCGAAATGGTTTGCGAACACAACTTGTTACTACCGATAAAGTCAAAGATATTGCTCTTGAAAAAATATTATCGAATTCTGTTATAATTATCTTTTCCCAGGACTCATTTTTTTCTCGCAGATGATTTCTATTTTTTCAGTTTTTCTTCGTGAATTTTCCTGATAGTTCAAAGACTTACTATCTGAATTTCTTACTAGCACATTATCCATTTCTAATATCATTTGTTTGATCATATTGTAAAGGAGTTCAACTAGATATGTTTCCCATCCTTCTTGAAAATCATATCGTGCTTGTTATGAATGATTGCCTGTCTAATGATAAGTATGAGAAAGAAATGTTAATTGGTAAGTAATAACAAGGTGCAAAATGACTGGACTATCTATCGTTACAATCTCTTAGCGGAAAGAAGACGATGATACTGAACTTTGATTGAGCGATAAAACAGTTCTCCCGTCCTTGTTGACATGATATAACCCGTTCATTATGTTTATTACTCAGTATTGCATATCATCATGACGATTACCATTAGACATCTCAGAAATTAACAATTTTATTGAAGAATTGCTTGATGAGCTGTCCAGACATTTCGATTTTGTTAGGAGAACATACAAATGAAATAGAACATTATCTCAACAGATGAGCTAGAACTTACTTCCGACACAACCAAAGTATTTTATTGAGGAATTACATGATTTCCAAAAGTTCGCAGATATCATTGAATTTCACTGAGATTCAGACTTTGATGGAGAAAAGCCACAAATCAGCAGAACTTTTGAACAGTAGAAATCCTTACATTTATATCAAGAAGTTCGAAGTATGTCTGGGAAGATTTCCTACCACCACTATTTTCAATTACCTTGAGCTAACTTGGTTGGTGGAAGAAGGGAGTAGAGAGGGAGTTTTTTTAATATTTTTTCAGTTCTAATCTCGAGCTTTAACGGTTGGAGGTTATTGATGCTGAACTAATTTTATCAATCAAATTTAATGTTAAATTACTCTTTGTTCCGTGGAAAACAAAAAATCTATTTTACCTTAAAATCTTTTGACAATCTCTAGTTAATTTTACTAGAAATATTGATGCATCATACTACCATTATACACTTCCAAAAACCTCATCAACCCAAATATTGAAAAAAAGAAACCGGTGGAGCATTCTTGTTTTGAAGGTTCATTTTATCGGTAGGGCTATACAACGCAATTTTATATTTGTGTACAATGTATTTCATCCGTGCTAAACAAACCAATTCCATTTATTGATTCACAATCTTACACTAAGATCACCTTCTAAGTGCCAATTATCGAGTAAGATTCCCACGTATTCCTCTTACTTTTTATTATAAAAAAAGTAAAGCAATGCCAGCGAACATCAAGAATTCATAGTTCACCACATTTTGCAGAATTCAAGATATCTCCTGAGCCAAATCTATTTGTGCATTTGAAATTTTTGCCTTAAAATTAAAAATGATTCCTGATTTTCAGAATAAACGAGCAAAACTAAAGAAAGCATCCGGACATCGACCTGTACTGGCGCTGCATTTAATGGCTCAGGGGCTTTACAACCATACATCGATGCCAATATTCAATCAACGCTAGGATGGAATTAGGTCAGACGCACTTCTCTGCAATTTCTGATTCGGTTTACATTGATGCTGAAAAACTTAAATAGAATGATACATTCTCAAAACTTGCTTGCATGCTGGACCTGCTAAACTGCAGGTATAATCTGCAACATTTTTTATATATTAAACGCCCTATCACCCAGCTGGGCAGTCGGCAATAAAATTAAAGAAGCAAACTTCCTTTATGCCCTTTATAACTATATAACGGTGACAGAACAAAGATAGTTTTACTTTAGGAATTTAGTGTTTAAACTATTAGCAAGTAAGGAATTTAAAATCGAAGCCTAACAAAACAATACTGAACTTCACAAACAAATGTACTGATTACGGTAAGAAAGATTAAAGTTTTGTACATTTAGCGGTGCTGTTGTATTAATCGAAAAATATATGATAATAAATATATGCTTACATTTATTGTTAACAACAAAATAAGAACAGAAAAATGTATGAGAGAAATAACTTGATGACCTAACTGACTTTTCCGTTTAGAATCCAAGCGGTCGATTACTAAACGATGTGTACAGAAAGTCGTATAACATTACATCCTACTTATAACATTTAGAAGCTCTATTATATATCTTTATCATTTTTACACAGATAAACGATCAACTGGTCGAGATTTGTGTCACTTATTCGTTATCAGTTCTAACGTATTGTATTATCACTTCTTTCAACTTACGAGAACCGAGTACAATATCATCAAAGAATTAAAACTATTAAAACAAGTGGCTATTAAGCAATATAAGAATACCGATTCATTTTTATCATATAAACAAAAGATGTTTCTTTGAGGCTTGAACCTAGTAATCACTGAAAACCTCTAACTGTTCTCCCTACATATATTAATTTAAACCCTTATGAACCTACACTTTTTTTTAATATAAAAAACACTTCAGCTCTTTCTGAAATTAACTCCACGTGTGTTATACCGTTTAATATAGTACCATGAACCGGGGACCACTTCTTCTTTCAACCGATACATATCCATGTCGTCGTTCCAGTATCTATATAATATAATAATATAAACTTGTGTTTTATATGCCTTTTAATGATGACCTTCGTTGAATATAAAACTTATGGTTCTTGAAAATAATTTGCTAAAATATCAATTTTGTCATAAAAGTCCATAAAGATTACTAACAAAATTTAATAAAAGTATTTAAACATAATTCCTGCAATAATTTTATATTAATAAAATACAATACAATATAACTAAATATAAATAAACAAAAAAAAGGAAAGACGAAGACCTCGCAAATCTTTTGTATCCCGAACGATCAAAATCCGCAGTCGTCCTGTCTGGAAAGAGGCCAGCCCAATGAGCCTATAAGTTTGATTAAGTAAAAAGAAGGAATTTTGTTTATCAAAATTTAATACTAATGATTCTATTCCGTAAGAATTACAGATAACAACAGTGAACATGGTATTTTCACCACAGTCATCTTTACAAGGTATGTACCTGCATAACACAACGTTCAATCCTCTGCTGTTGCTTTTTGCACAAACCAGTAAGTTGCTGCGGAAGCACGGTTCCATCTTTTCGCATAAATTGCTCCAAAATTAATACATCTGAATAACGGATCTGCAAGCACACTGCTTAGAATTCAGCGTTAAAGTAAGACAGTTTCCTTGAACAGCTGCAAAATTTTATATGCAAAAATTACTTTGATGGGAACATTACAAGTACATAGTGTACAAGTTTCTGGACTATGTTTCAACACTTTGCGGTCATCTACATCGGCAACATCAACAACTTCAACAATTGTCGTATCTTCCTCAACTTTGACATCGACTGAAAACTGCTATAAATTTGCTAAAGTAACTCATTTCAAATTGGTGAAATTAAGAATTATTTATCAAACATGCAGCATTTTGAACTAAGAATTTTCCAATCACTGACTGTAACAGCCGGAACCACTACAACTCATGTAACAACGATGAGAATATTACGATAGTAACCCCTAATAATATCGAACTAACAACCTACTTCTTTTTTTGAAGAGAGCTAACGCAGTGACAAACTGCTTTGGCCAACAAAAAATACGTCCATAACATCCTGTTAGCAAAGGCAGTGGCTTTAACATATATAACATGACCTGAAGTAGGTAAACATATCCGGAAAGTGGATCCACAAAGAAATCTCTTCCTTATTCTCATCATTAGCAATAATCCATCTTCCATTCACTACATTTCCTAATACCGGTAAAGGTATTTAAGGGTAGATAAAACTCTCAATTTTTGGTATCTCATGCAAAATTACCTCTTATTCTACTGAACATCTCAGGGTAGCACGAAGAAAGACATGGCCTGATTGGTCAGCCTGCATCATTAGCAACAAATTATAAGCATTATAAACACTGGAATCATAACCTATACCTTCAAATTTAAAATGAACACATAAACCACACATATATAGAGAAACAAATCGATTCCCGAGGGTAACTACTCAAGATAAGATAACGATGTGGAGACGAGGAATAACATAGCTGGAGAAGTTGAAGAGAAGGAGGACCGTAATTTAACATGCAACAATTTATGAAACATGAAATTGAAGTTCTGTTTGTAGATGGAGCTCGAGATGAAAGTGTTGGTCAGAAGGTCAGGAGGTTCTTCCCTTGTTAGTTAATAGTGAGGTCGAAGTTCATTAGCAATACATGTAGTGCCGCAGTGCATACCCTCTTTGTTTTTTGAATACATAGTCTTCATCCATTATAACAGTCAAAATCCGAGCTATAATTGAAATTGCTGTCGTGAATCTCAGAGTACAGCTACTGCATGCTCGCATGTAGTCATGCAGGGATTGTTACTACTGATCGAGTGCATCAGAATGCATGTAGCAACACTTTGTGTGGTATATCATTTGCTAATCATCGGACAGGTTTGCATATCTTTGGTTTTCTGTACTGGCAAAGCTTATTACCGAAGTGAAGCAGATTCGTATGCTGATGAAGAGAAGGTGATGTTTTCAGTCGACTTCTGCTGCTTAATGGAAATAATTTTTTTTCTAACTTTTCTGATCACAAAATGTCAGTTCTTATGATTTCCAGATGAGAATTCAAGAAATTTGTTAACAAGATGGAATTTTAATCAAGAATTTGTATATTATGCATATTCTTCATTATAGATTAACTGAAAAAGACGATCTTTTTGCTCTTTATTTGTATTTAGAATTTGATTATTATAATATTTATAATTCGTCGAAAATTTTACAGCAACTTCTTGATCCTTTAGGCGACATTAGTAGTCGATAACGTATGCCGAAAATATGGGTGCCTTTGTGAAAATAATACGATAACATGCATTAATGTGGAACCTGATAGATTTAACCAACATATTCTCAAACTCATAGATGCTCACAGTATTTCATTCACTAAATGCTCTCAGGTTGCTCATTTTCTTATTGAATTTAGTTACATTGAAACTTATTAATTTGTGAAACAACATGATAGCAATTTTTTTTTTTTTTTTTTTTTGTTCACATGCTATGACCTGTTTCAGAAGTTTTGTTTAAATTTTGGAGTTATTTGGAGTGGTGATGATGGCACTGTCACTATTTCAACGTGAATAAGATACAGTTTATTTAAAGTAATGAAATATACGACAAAGTCAGTTAATTATATTTTGCAGAAGCGTCTGAATCTGCATATGTTCGAAAATTTTACTTCAGTGCGCAGCATTGCAATTCATGATTGTAATATACAACAACTTTTTCCGTCTACTTTGGATTCACTGCAAAGTTTGAATGTTTTGAATTTGAGCCGCAATTATTTATGGAATTGGGATGAAGTTTGTCTAGTCTTGAATCAGCTATCGTCGTTACAGACAGTTGATTTATCGCATAACTGGTTCTCCAAGTTATCTCACACTGGTCAGTGTGTACTCAACAAACTGCAGCACCTCAATTTATCGTTCAATCAAGTGAGTTACCGTCACTTATACTTCATTGTTGCTCGACTTCCATCACAATTGTATTTCTGACATTTGACTTTTCGACAGTTGATTTTTTATTTGTCAGTAGCAGTTTGCCAACAGATAGCGATAGATTCCTATAATTTCGAATTAACATTTAACTTATATCAGCTCCAAGTCGATATGAATGGGAAAAACAACCGTATTTTACTGTTTATAATTTGATTTCCGTTTTTTTCGTATACTCATACTTCTTTGTTTGACTTTTCACTCCACTCTCGAGTCTTTTATAATCACAATTCTTTCTCGAATTTAGTCTCACTTTAATTTCAAATATTAGTTTGATCTCAAGTATTCGAAATACTAGAAAACAGATTTAACTATCAGTTTTGTAGGTTTCGGAGTTGACTACAGTGCCAAATGCAATATTGCTGGATCTTTCTTCCAATGGATTAACTCGAATTTATGGTGAATGGCCACTCTCGTTAGAAGATTTAGATTTATCGAATAATCCTGCAATAGAACAATTTCCCTCACTTTCGTTAGCCCCTCAGTTATCTGATTTGAATATGGATAATTGTGGATTAACAGTTTTGCCGTTATCCATTTCACCGAATTTGCAACATCTGTCACTGCAATATAACAGATTAACTTTTATTGATTTCGATTCAGTTAACTTACCTTCACTGCATAAGGTCTGTTTGCTTCTGTATTTAAGATATTTTATTGATGCAAAGGGTAGAAATATGATCTCCATTTTATTTCACCTACTAAATTCTGTCAAAATTAAATGATTTTATTTTCTACGTTTTTCACACGAAGAGCATGTTGAATTGTTGCTTTATTTTGAATTCGTGAAGAGATAACGTCTTTGGTTTTTGTTTCTGCGTAGTTTTGTGTCATAAGAGACCGCAAGCTTTCATTTATTTTAATTCCAGAGATTTTTCCAGGAATTTCTGCCTTTGACCCTTTTACATTCGGTCCCTATAAATGAGTCATTTTTCTAATTAACTAAACGAAACAATCTCATTCAATTTTTGAATTGCATTTATATTGTTATGGACATTATAATTGTTTCAAGTTTTTCAGCTAAGCGAAATTTTTGTAATATCCATATCTATAATTATACAATGTTCCGTAATATTTTATTTCAGTTGGATTTGAGGAACAGCTTTCAACTATACAGCATTACTGGTATGCTACCAATCAGAGTGAGGGATTTTCGCTTGACAAATGCACCAATGAGATATCTGCCATCAGATTTCTTCTTAAGGTTTAGAAAATTAATAAGATATTGAACTTTTGTCTTCCATACTTGAAGTTGTTCTTATCGACTCATTGCTATCACCAGAATAGTTTGATCTTCCAGTAGGCTCTTTATTCTTTCTGAAAATATTCCTTGCAGTGGAACTTGATAGTATGTTCAGATCAAATTCTACAAAGTTTTCTAATGAAAAATATAAAAAGTTTCATGGCAGCATTTTATCACCTAGTTTTTGTTGTCTTTCCAGAGCAAAAAACCTTCATTTTACTGAGATGATGCCAAATAATTGGAGCTGTGATAATTGTCTTAGTAAGTGGGCGAAAATGCTACCTGTCAAGTTGCGGCCAGATATGGACTGTGCAGATAATTTGCCTGATAACTGCTCCATAGGTTTGTTATTCTTAGCAGTAATAACAAATATAAATTTAAGTTAAAAATGCTGTCCATGTTCCGTAATTTTTTTACACACTTTCATAGATTCATGAAGGGGAAGTATTGGTTGGCGATACTAATTACTGAGGAAAACAAATCCGGTAGAGCATTGGACATATTCGGAAGCTGGTCATTACGTTCGAAAATTCTGTGAAATTATTAAACTGTCGAGAACTTTTGCAAGAATTTGGTGTACTTTATATCCTCGAAATCCGTTTTTTGATTTCTATCTTTTGAATTCTCCGAAAAAAGCATATGTTTTCAGGTATTTCAAAGCGAGTTGAGCAAGGTGCTAAATATATTTTAAGAGTTCCTTATGCAGAACCAGCAATTTTGCCATGTGATGCGTATGGTGAGCTACCACTGTTTATTAAATGGTGGTTAGTTAGGCCCAAAATATTGATTGGAAGTTATAATTTTGAAAGTCAAGTGATTGTAATGAACTGGACGCGGAATGGTGCATATAAAATTATTCCTGGTGGACTCCTTCTTATCAACGTTGCTAGAAAAGAATTGGTTGAGCGATATAGATGTGATGTGTCGAATTCAAAAGTAGGTTTCTTATTCAGAGCTACTTTATTGACTTCAACAGATATTTTTCAATTTATTTTTTCTTTGAAAAATGGTTCGTTTGTACTGAATAGAAACCGAACGTTTTTTAGGTTTATCTTGACATATATTTATATTTCTAGAATCAAAGCGAAATGAAGCCCATTTACATTGTTCTCTTAGATTGTTATTCGGTGAAGAATCCTTATAATCGTTTCTAGGTTTAATTATATTAAGGTGATTATTCATTCTCACACATATTAAAACTTTTCGCTACCAGTTGTAAATTACGTATGAAATAAACGAAAATATGCACATATAAATCGACCACTTGAATTTTATTGATTCCGCCGCAGATGAGTTTTGTAGGGAAATGCTTCACAAATAATACACTTCCGTTTGGATTATTCAAGTTGGTTCCATTTGGAAATGGTGAAATCAGTGTTTTGGGGAAGCATTCTGGCTGCAATGATTACTTGTGGTATTACTTTCATCTTCAATTTATTTTGGATCACTTGTCGACAAATTGGTTTATGGTGGATAAAAAGAATTGGTGAGCAGAAATATTTCTCTTCCACTTGTAATTTTAATGGAATTATTGTTTCGTCCTTAGAATAATAACACTCTGTTTTGTTGCTTATATTATATATTACATATATCTAATTGCAGATCGAAATTCACATGTTCGTGAAATGGTCGCTGCTGTAGAAAGATATCGACAGCGACAAATGTCTACGCTTTCTGATACATATCATAAGAAATTGGAACAAATACGAGACAATTATCGCCAACAGGTAATTATTTGATTGACAAATTCTGAGCTTTTTTGATCTTATTATAATTTCACATTAAAAATTAATAGTTTAGAGATAGTCTCACTTGATGATTGATGTTTTCCATTTCGGTTTTATGATATCTATGTTTTATGAGATAATTTCA